TTCCTGACAAGTCCAAAGCCTTGCATAGTGATAGGTTTGTCATTTTTTTTTCTATTGATGATCCATTGTCACAGTGCTTGGAGATAAATGGATTTATTACCAAAGCTTTGATACAGTTTCGGTGATAGGTGTTCCGAAAATAACCACTTAGTTCTGAATGAAAACTTGTACAAACCATTTTGGCTGTGAATTTGGTTGTTGGTGTCTACTAAGAACCCTGTAAATCTATCTGGGCACGTAGATATATAATTAGAAGAATTGGAGTGTGGTGTCGAACCCACCGAACCTTTATGATGGTATGCAAAACGTGCATCCGGCTGTGAGAAGACTTCAGTAGATGACGATGTATGACGGTTAATCTTTGACTACTGACACAGAGAACATTCCCCGACCAAATGGTATACATTTCCTTTAGGTTAGGTTATAAATATCTAACCAACCTAGATTATCGATTTTTCAAAATAGCAACTACCAGCTGAATGTACCTCCGTTTTCCTCTATTTAGGAACAATGATTTGAAAGAGGTTGGTATTTTTTATCACAAAAGTCTTCAAGAGAAAAGGACACATATTAGGGAAAACACACAACTGCGTCACAAGACAAGCCCACACTTGGAATTCTCAAGGTAATAGGAAAAGAGGAAGACCAATGAACACCTTACGCAGAGAAGTAGAGAAAGAGATGTAGAAAATGAACAAAAATTGGCAGGAACGGAGAAGGAGAGTACAGGACAGAGTTGGTTGGGAAAAACTGGTCGGCGAACGATGCTCCATTGGGTGTAACAGGCGTAAGTAAGTTAGTTAAGTTATTTGGATCTGAAAAGAGTTCGTTGGGAATAATATGGCCTATCAATATGATCCGAGCCGTTAGACTCAAAACTATATGAGAATGCACGTGAAAAAATAATTAAGTACGGTCCTAATAATAAATTAGTATCCTGATATTTGAAGATATCACTTAAGCATTAGGATCTGACGGTAAGGATACTAAATTCTTCATGGAGATTACTCATGATGTAGGTCAACCCGAAACATAATAATAAGCTTGATGTTACCAATAATTCATTGTTCTCAGTCAAAAACATGCATAGAAAAGGCATTTCTAAAACTGGGTTAAAAGAAGAACTTGCTAAGCTAAAACTTCGGTCACTACCAAACACCTAGAATCGTACCGAAAGAAAAAGAATCAAGCGTGAAGAAATCACTTGGTTTATACTACCTCGTTAAAAAGATATTGATCCATATTTCATTGAAAGAGGTGCTCCTACATGCCCCATGGCCACGGGAGTGGTGGAGGCTGATAGTAGATGATCACTGGCAAGCAGTGAGAGATATCATCCAAAACGCTGTCGTAGACAACGTACCTCAGTCACACCCGAAACGCCAGAACAGAAGAACCTGGGTTAGACGCTGCATGGAACGCCTGGCACAAGTGGAAGGTCTCCTTGAAGGATTCCGATCGCAGTTCTTACTTGGCATTGAGAAACAGATGCAATACCAAAGTTCGAAGCGACAGGAGACAATTCCAGACGAAGCTAGCTGCCAGAATAGAGGCAAACCCGAAACATCTGTTTAGGTTCATGTCCAAAAGAAAACCTACTAATCAAGGGTTGTGTTCCCTAAAAGGGCCAAACGGGGAAGATCTCACCAACCTAGAGATGGCCGAGATCTTCAACACCCATTTTTCTGATCGATTAAACCAGGCGCCTACATGTTCAGAGTATTACGCTAACCCAATGCCAGATGACGGCTTAGGGAACATCCATATCACTCCTGACCTAGTATTAAGGAAACAAAAATCCTTACGCCCAGGTAAGTCACCAGGTTGTGACAAAATCCGCCCTATAGTCTTGCAACAGTGCGCTGAAGCCCTGTGTTCACCGTTATGCAACCTGTTCAGGCATTCACCGGAGTCACACTAATTCCCAGCGGAATGGAAACAAGCTGCTCTCTCTCTAATCTTCGAAGGAGGAGATAGAAAGGACCCAGCCTGTTACAGACCAGTCGCACTTCTACCTATATTATCGAAGGTTATGGAAGGACTAGTGGATGAACAAATGAGGGAGTACATGGATAAGAATAAAATACTCCATGAAGCTCAACACGGGTTTCGGAAAGGCAGGTCGTGTGCATCTAATCTTCTCATCGCATGGGATATTTGTACATCCTGCTTGGACCGTAAAATACCGGTGCACGAAATATTTCTCGACTTCGCAAAAGCCTTTGACACAATGCCCCACGCACGCCTAATCGAAAAGGTTGTGGAAATGGGCTTCACTGACCCACTCGTATCTTGGCTCAGAAACTACCTTGAGAATAGAAAGTTTCTCACCAAGGTAAACAGAGTGCACGCGAGTTGGAGAGTATCCACTTCGGGAGTTTCACAGGGGCCATCCTGGGCCCACTCTCCTTCCTGATATTTATTAACGACCTGCTAGGCTTAGTTAACTCACCGGTATTGATCTACGCAGACGATTCGGAGATCTGGAGGTCCATTAGAAGCGAAGAGGATTCGACTGAGCTTCAAAAGGACCTTACATCTATTGAGAAATGGGCAGTGAAAAACGGTTTAAAACTCAACCAACCGAAGTGCCACGTCATGCATTTCCTGCCTCATATGACGCAAACCACCTACACTCTCAACGGAAGTCCGCTCCCTATTGCCTCCTCAGAGCACGATCTTGGTTTAATAACCACAGAAAGCCTCCACACGAGTCCAAACTATGTAGGGGATGCAGCCAAGGCGAATGCGACTCTTCACTTTATGCGAAGATAGCTTGGTGCTATCACCACGAAATTATTTTTAACCCTGTTTAAGCCGTACGCGCGCCCACACTTGGAGGTTGACAACGTCATCGCACCTCCTCTGCTTGAAAGAGACATTAATCTCTTGGATCGAGTGCAGAGACGAGTAACGAAATGGGTGATAGGGTTGAAAAATTAACCCTACGACGATAGACTCCAGCTCTTGGGATTATTCCCACTGAGCTACAGGAGAATCAGAGGTGACCTGATTATGGCGTACACTATATTAAACACGCCAAACCATCCCAATATGAGCATCTTACCGATGCATCACCACCACTCCCCTCGAGGCAATCCTCGAAAGATTGCACATCAGAGAGCAAATACTCAGATTCGTGCACACTTTTTCTCATTGCGAGTCGTCGCAACTTGGAATGCTCTCCCAGCCGAGGTAGTTACAGCCCCCTCAGTGGACTGCTTTAAGAAGAGACTTGATAATCACGTACTCACATACGGACTATCATCTCCCTCTTGGACAAGCTGTGCCTGATGCATATCTTGAGACCTGCTCGCTGTTACCATTGCCATCTCCTCAGATCACTTAATTAATCTATCTCGCCTATTATCTCTGTTTCCTCTCCCTCGCTTACACCTCGGTCCTCCCTCACAATCTTCACTACCAATTAATAAACTAAATTCATCTATATATTACTCAGTTCTGAAATTTTACTCATATTATCATTAGAATTTTATCCTTATTACCCTTATTACTCTCTACATTGCAACTAACTGATCTCCGGTTTGCTAATGTGACGGCTGTTAGTATCCAGAAACCCTACTGCCCTGAAACAAACGTTTCATTCAAATCCCGAGACATACAAACTCACAACCAACTGCCAACTGACTAGAATTAGACAGTCGAGTGACTAGACCTCCATCCATTGGACATTTTCGAACACCTGGAACCGTACCGAAAGAACAAGAATCGAGCGCGAAGAAATCAAATTGGTTTACACTAGCTCGTGAAAAAGATATTGGATATTGAATGTATTTAGGCTTGGAGATTGCCGCTCTAATCGAACGTTTGCGTTTATAATTTTCAGGGTGATCATCATACGGTACAAGGTGTAATATATGTATTAGTTTTATGGACTCTCTGTTCTAAGCCGATTAATCGTAGTGAATAAATTATTGACGAATCCAAAACATGCACATCAAAAATATGTAAGGCCAGGCATGTTACACGTTCGCTTCTGGAAGACGATCCCTCTAATTACACTGGAAAGCTTTAATTTGATTCCATCCATTAGCAGCTGTCACCCAAAAACGTTTTAATGTGCTGGCTTTCAATCGGGCCTTCACTTATGACGATCTTGTACATTATATCGTTTAACTGAACACCACTAAGGATTGTTTATTTTTTGCACATTCAAATTTTTCACTTTGTATTCCATGGAGGTTTTGAAATTTTAATAGTTTGATTGCAATATATCAGTTTAAAAAGAGTTTTGTGTTGGTGTGGATTGTCTACTAATATAACTAGATTTGACTTGGCATACAAACAGTCTATATCCTTTGGGTTTATTGTGCCTGAACTTGTTAATGCATTTCTGTATCTGTACGTATAAAAGTTAGCTTAAAAGTGTATGGATAGATCGCTATGTATAGCTCTCATTAAGATTTTCCAATCATATGCCTATTTTACTGTGTAGAGATGTCACTGGTATTCGAAGTTGGACATCAATGTGGGATTTATTAACCTATAAGAGTGCGTATTTGATTATCTGATGATATATTAGTGTTATTTCTATACCGTTTCGTTCCAATATATCATCTGAATGTAACTTTCATTCTGAGTGTATATCAATAAATGAATATATACTGTTGCTGTTTTCAAATATGTTACATTTGTTTGCAATTATCTAAAATGATGGTAAGCGAGGCTAGACAGAAACATTCGCTGCCCCATAGTATTGCTACTCGTCTGTTAGTTTCAAAATCCTTTTCGTTTGATATTTAGTAAATCGAGATAATTTGCATCCATCCAGTAGATCACAAGTCCACTTCTCACTCCATCTGCTATTGCTTGAGCAACTGAGCTGTACGACTAATCCGCAGTTTAACTTAGAGCCAAGTTCATAAGCATGTGACTGATAAATTAGTTATATTTTTAGATAAATGTCTTGATATCTGTATTATTTTGTACTCATGTCCTGACTTTTTTCAACTTTAGTTTCCGAAAATTCATGTAGATAAATGAAAGGAGCTAGTCCTAACGCCTATACTACAGCACCATCTAATCCACCAGCTCTTCAACACAAACCGAATACGAGTGCCTCCAGAAGCCCTGTAGGACATTCGCAGGAACTTACCTCTAGCCAAAGTATAGTTAACGCTGTTTCGTCATTATCGAAATGTGATGGTTAGTTATACTGCGTGATTTCTAACTTTTCTAGATAAACCTAGTAATGAGGCAGGACCCATGGAATTATATGATAGTGTCAACTTGCAAAATCGTCTTCAAAATTGGAAACATTGGAGTTTAACAACGTTCAAATGTACCAAACAAATGATTGAGGAAAAACTTGGAACAGCAAGTGTAACTTGTGATCAAGAATTAGAAGATCGAATTTCAGTGTTTAGGTTGGTTTAAAGAGTACTTGGGTGGTATTCAGTCATTTAGTTAACATACAGGCATATCACACTGATAAATTGAAAATTTTAACCTTCAAATGTTTTGAAGTAAATTCGAATACCGAACATTACGCTAACTACCGTACGCTGAAGTACTATGTGATGGCTTTCTGTATCTATAATCGTTAAAATTAGGATGCTTCGGTGCCTAATGCTTCTTTATACTCTCATTGCTAACTTCAGTTTGTGTCAATTCGCAACCCCCGACCGTGGCTGCTACCTTGACGTGGTGGTCGGGCTTGCCTATCGTGATGATCCAACCGAGCTATACTGGCTGGAACATATGTTCCTGCAGGTCCTACCATGCCAGACAGGTCGATTGGAGAACGATGAGACTAAAAGCAGCTACCCAAGGTCTGAGGGCGAAGTCGTACTGCTGACTGCAGAGGGGTGTGACAGCAGTAAGGTGTTTCCCTTGGACAACCAGCATCTGCAGCGATGCTGCCTTCTCACAAGGAAGGAAGGGTTAGAAAAGGTCGGCCCTAAAAATGTCACACCTCCCCTACCTCACGGATTTCCGTCTCCTTGGGTAAGGGTGCCCACTAAGGGCCTTTAAGAACGGAGCTAATCCTCAAAATACCTTTCATAAAAAGGCCGTGCGTGACCGGCCTCAAGCAGTTGTCCCTTGGACTCTGCGGTCACGCACCAACACTAATCTATTTTCCTTTTCAGGTTCCTCAAGAAACAACCTTCCACGGTGTGGGCAGCCGGGAAGTGACAACCGCCCTCATACCCATAACAGCACGCGAGACCAAATTGGTCAAAATCAAATCCTTCCTACACCCCCTAATGTCTCTCTTATCTCCACGACTAACTCTTCTTACATTCATTCATCACATTGCACAGCTAATGCAGACGATACGAGTTCGCGAAAGGTCGTTCCTGGTCTCCTTAAACCTCGCTCTAGACTACATGTTGGAGCATTTAATGTACGGACATTGTGTCAAATAGGGCAACAGGCTTCCTTAGCTAGGACTTTAGAATCTCGTGCCATCGATGTATGCTGCGTCTCGGAAACGCGCATACAGGATCCGAGTCACGTCATACACTTGACCACACCATGTCAAAATAAAGAAGCAGCTCGATTTACTCTTCGTGTATCCGGTAGCCCTGATGCTGCTTCCCGGGGTCTTGCTGGCGTAGGCATAGCATTGAGTCGTAGGGCAGAACAATCTCTCCTTGACTGGATCCCAATAGATAGTCGATTGTGCGCTGTCCGACTAAACGGGACAGTAAGGACTCGGAAAGATAGGGACAATCGCCGTTGCCTCTTCATCGTATCTGCCCATGCCCCCACTGAATGCAGTTCAGACGAGGTTAAGGATGAGTTTTACAGAAAGTTTTCGGACCTCCTCCAAAAAGCTAGGCGCTCTGATATAGTAATAATGGCTGGTGACTTTAATGCTCAAGTAGGTAGACTAAGTGAGCAGGAGAGACACCTAGGTTGATGTTATGGTGTCGCGGCTCAGAGAACAGACAATGGTGACCGTCTGTTGCAAACATGCTCAGACAACCGCCTATTCTTAGCAAACACTAACTTTAGGCATAAGGAAAAGCACCTGTTGACCTGGCGACCTCCAAAGTCGTCTCAACGTTGGACTCAACTAGATCACATCGCCATCAGCCACCGATGGAGGGGTTCGATAGAGGACTGTCGTTCGTTCTGGGGCACATGTTTGGATTCAGATCATGCCCTAGTGCGAGCGCGTATTTGTTTGAAGCTTACTGGACGTAGGAAAGACACCGTAAGAAAGCCTCTTAGGGTTTTGCTTAATGATAATAAGGCGAAAAATATATTTCAGGAACAACTAGAAAGACAGTTAGGCGACCATTTAAGCGATTCCCATCCGGAAGCAGGATGGAATGATATCAAAAAGGCTGTGGAAACAGCAGTGATATCTGCTAGTGAGGTTGACCATAAGGCTAGAATGAAACCGTGGATCTCAGTAGCATCCACCGATCTGATGGATGCCCGAAAACTCATCCCACCTGGCTCTGAGCATGATGAAGAACGAAGTCAACTTAGGCGCAGACTTATGAAAAGCCTACGTAACGATCGCGAGCAGTGGTGGGTGGCGAAAGCAAAAGCGATGGAAAAGGCAGCGGCGATCGGCAACAGTAGACAACTTTTCCGCCTTATTAAAGAAACTGGTATTAAGAACCCGAATGTGAGTGAGACTATCTCGGAAAAGGATGGTCTTATTATCCATTCTCAATCCAGGAGACTGGATCGATGGGCAGAACACTTTAGGGATCAGTTCAACTGGCCACGAGCCACTCTTCGGTTACCCACGATCTCCAGTCATCCTGAATGGCAAATCGACCTAAGTCCCCCTAGTCTTAATGAAGTTGAGAAAGCGTTAGGAAATCTGAAACGAGGACGAGCTGCAGGTCCTGATAGACTTACCCCTGAGATATTTAAGGATGGAGGTCCAGTTTTATCAGCTAGGTTGACTGAGATATTAGGTAGAATATGGGAACTGGACACAATCCCATCCGACTGGTCTCAATCCTTGATTGTCCCAATCTATAAGAAAGGACAGAAGTCTTCTTGTGACAATCACAGGGGAATAAGCCTAACTAACATAGTATCTAAAATATTGGCCTCAATAATACTTCGACGCTTAACGAAAGCTCGTGAAGAGCAAACTCGGGAAAACCAGTCTGGTTTTCGACCTGGACGTGGCTGTATAGACCACATTTTCACACTACGACAGGTCCTGGAACACAGACACACATTTAGGCGTCCTACAATAGTTGTTTTCCTGGACCTTAAGGCGGCATTTGACTCAGTGGATCGTGAGGTTCTGTGGCAGTGTCTGTCATTGAAAGGTGTACCACAGAAGTACATTAACCTTATACAAGCCCTATACTCGAACACCACTGGTCGAGTGAGGGCTTATGGCGAACTGTCACCGGAATTCTCTACATCAAGTGGTGTCCGTCAGGGATGTCCACTCTCTCCATTCTTGTTTAATTTTATCATAGACATGCTCCTAGACATAACATTATCCTCGTCTGAATTGTCAGGAGTAGACCTTTTACCAGGTGGCTCGCTTATTGACTTAGAATATGCCGATGACATTGTCCTACTTGGTGAAGACGCTGACAAAATGCAGAGTCTTCTGACTACCCTAAGCAACAATGCAAGCATGTTCGGGATGCGGTTTTCCCCCTCGAAATGCAAAATGTTACTTCAAGATTGGGTGTCATCGGCACCTGAACTAGTGATAGGGAGTGAAGTGGTCGAACGTGTAGACCGCTTCACCTATCTTGGGAGTCTCATCAGTGCTGATGGCCTGGTGACTGACGAAATCTCGGCACGGATACAGAAGGCTCGATTGGCTTTTGCCAACCTGCGTCACTTATGGCGTAGGCGAGATATCCGTTTGCTGACTAAAGGACGAGTGTACTGCGCAGTGGTTCGCTCTGTCTTACTTTATGGCTGTGAAACATGGCCAATGAGAGTAGAAGATACTCGACGGTTATTGGTTTTCGATCATAGGTGTCTTCGAAGCATTGCTCGTATATCGTGGGACACCCGAGTTAGCAACGCTGTTATTAGGAAACGGGTACTAGGTAAGAATGGCAGATCAATCGATGAAGTGGTGAAACTTCATCGGTCGAGGTGGTTGGGACACGTGTTGCGTATGCCTAACCACCGACTGCCTCGTCGAGCTTTGTTTTGTGGTGTAGGAATAGGTTGGAAGAAAGCTAGGGGCGGTCAAACCAAAACATGGCATAAATCCATGAAGTCATTGACGAGTGGACTTAGCCATGTCGGTAATTGTCGACTACCTGGTTGGGGTCCGCGAGATGATAATAATCGATGGTTAGAGACCTTGAATGACATGGCTCAAAATCGTTCGCAATGGCGCCAGTGCATTTATTCTTTGTGTTCTCTCAAATCCTAATCTTCTGAGTTCTTCAACACCTCTAGCTTTTACTTTCTAATTTTATCTCATTGAATCACACTTCGTGAATAATATCTTCTAATTCTAACGTCTACGATTACTTCTAATACCTTTACTACCTCTTCTACTATTGGATTTGAATTGACAATTATATCTCTGTGCTGATGTGGTATGGCGACATGAACTGATGTACTTACGTACGAAGTTCTACGTTGCAACTGACTGACTGACTGACAATTCGCAACCAAGATGTCTGAACCTACTAATTATTTTACATACATATGATTTACTAGATGATAAAAGGTAAACACTGTAACTAGGGTAGCTTTAGTGGTATTATCTTTGAGTATGATGGTGCTTAATGTTCATTTAACTCAATCAAAAAGCAGATTATTCTGAGTCAAAACGTAATTCGGAATGACTTACCACATTATAAGACATTAAAACAACGAGATTATTCTTCTGATTGATGACAGAGACAGCTCTTTTCGATTTCCAACTCTGATCATCAACAACAACGTAGAACTTCGTACGTACGTACATCATTTCAGGTCGCCTTACCACATTATCACAGATATAATTGTCAATTAAAATCCCAATTAGTAGAGGTAGTAAAGGTATTAGCAGTTTATCTAGTTGTTCCTGAAATATATTCTTAGCTTTATTATCATGAAGTAGAGTCCTAAGAGGTTTCCTTGCAATATCTTTCCTACGTCTCGTAAGCCGCAGACAAATACGCGCTCGCATTAGAGCACTGTCTGACTCTGAACAAATGATTCAGAATGAGCGGCAGTCTTTAATAGGGCCTCTCCACCGATGGCTTATAGCGATGTGATCTAGTTGGGTTCATCGTTGGGTCGGCTTTCAGGGTCGCCAGGTCAAAAAGCGTTTTTCTTTATACTTAAAGTTAGTGTTTGCTAGGAATAAGCGTTATCTGAGCATTGTTGCAGCAGGTCACCATCATCTGTTCTATTAGCCGCGACACCATAAGATCCACCCAGGTGTCTTCCCTTTTCACTCAGTCCATCTACTTTAGCAATAAAGTCACCAGCCACTGTTACTATTTTAGAGCGCCTAACCTTTGGGCGGAGGTCCGAAAGCTTTCTGTAAAACTCATATTTAATCTCGTCTGAACTGCATTCAGTGGGAGCGTCGGCAGATATGACGAAGAGGCAACGGCGAGTGTCCCTGTCTTTCCGAATCCTTACAGTCCCGTTCATTTGGACAGCGCACAATCGACTGTCTACTGGGATCCAGTCTAAAAGAGCTAGTACTGCCCTAGGACTCAATGCTATACCTATGCCGGCGAGGACATGGGAAGCAGCATCAGGGCTACCAGAAACCCAAAGCGTAAAACGTGCTGTGTCTCTGTCTACACTAAGTAAAATCAAATTGATGATTTTACTCAGATCTTGTATACGCGTTTTCAAGAGGCGGCATACATCGATCGCGCGGGAGAGTTCTAGCTAGTGAAGCCTGTTGTCCTATTTGGCACAAGATTCAAACGTTAAAAGCTTTAATATGTAATTTAGTTCGGGGTTTCCGGAGACCAGGAATAACGTTCGTGAGCTCAACCCGTTTGCTTCAGCGGCGCGAGGTGACAAACAATCGAAAGAAAGGTTGTTCGAGGAGATAAAAGAGTTATTAGGTGTAGAAAGGATTTGATTGTGACCAATTCGGTCTCGTGTGCTTTTATGCGTATGAGGACGGATGTCACTTCCCGGCTGCCCACACCGTGGAAGGGCTCTGGGTGTCTAACTGTGAAGTAAATAGTGTCAGCTGGTTTATTCAACTGATAACACTTTGTGCATGCTAATCACATATTTTTATTCTGTTCCATAACTCGTTCTGAAACATTTTGTTTCATATAAATATCTGGTGGTAATATTCCGTTATGGTTCTGGTAATTATAGGTAGGTGTCACCATGAAAGTCCCCCACAGTTCTTTTTTCACTTTACTTAAAACTTAGAAGCTTCTTGATTTACTAAGTGTCCAAGAAATACTCCATACAATTCAAAATGAAATTGTTAGTGGAAATGTCGAATACAGAAGGGTGTAGTAGCTAGAATATAAACCGTAAAGGATATAGTTTAAAAGGAGCATAACCAATGTGGGTCTTATTTCATTCAAAATTCCATACCATCCCTGAGGAACAAAATCTTACCGTAAACAATCCATGTATGATATGTATCTAAGGTTTGTAGTATATCCACAGCCTCAGTCCAAATTATTTATGTTCTCTATTGTTTTTCAGTTTTATAAAACAGGTTATGATCACACAAATACTATTTTCTTATGCGATTTTAAAGGATCCAACCTTTCCTTATTTTCAAATTGTTGATCATTGTTAAATTAACATCGATCCAGATAAAATGTGTTTGGAAGGATCTTAATTCCAATAATAGGATCAAATACATCTGGAAATTAGTTTGAAAAAAAGGTACCATCGTTTGGCGTCAGATGTTTTGGATTTGTGATTCATTTTCAGATATGACTAATTAACTGAAAATGCCAATAATAAAATTTTTAACGAAAGACTAATTTTTTGTGAGGACATAGTCTATTCTGAAAGTATACTGTCAGTACATAAGGCGATCTTGATCAACGTTTTGCAATACGTACAGAGAAGAAACATCACTTATCACCAGTAGTTTTCTGATTGTATGTGTGATTAATAGGAATATGGTTTGCGACATGTTTTCTTGGTTGTTTCGAAACATGTAACAATCATCTAATAACTAAAGTCTCTATACTAATTAGATAATGTGGAATTCTGTTTTTCAATTAAAACGTGTTGAACATTATGTGTATGGACATTAAAATTCTAGCTGACATTTTTCTCAGCTTTTTTGCACTGACAATAATTAGTGTGTAGTATTTTTTTTCTTTTATTGTTTCCGTATAGAAATATGCATCAACAGTATAAAATATTGCATAATCTCGCTGAAAAATTGGCTAATAGTTTTCGAGACACTATTCGTCATCAACGCGCATTTACGGGTCATATGGCTACTTTAATTGTACAACAGCCTGAATTAAGCAGTGAATTCACCTATAATACAGAAACACAACGTATTGTTTTATCAAATGGAGAAAAATTGTTAGGTATGAATTATGTATATTTTTTGACATGATTTCACATGTTTTATTCAGTTTTTTGCGAGATGATTTTTCCCATGAACTTCAGCTAAAAGACCGATGGAAACCAAGAAGCAATAAGGACTGTTTTGCCCTGGTATGGAACTCCCCAGTAAGTCCCTGAATGACCCCTCCTGAAATCAAACCCAAGAAATCTAGATCTCGTGATATGCATGTTGCCTTTAGGACACTGAGTCAAAAGGTGCCTTCAGGAGTGTGGGTCGGTTGCATTATATCATCATGTGGCATAAATTAGGTAGTAAATTAGTGTTTGATCTACTCGATTTTCCAGCTTCTCTCACTTCAGTGTGATTAGCAGAGTAATGTTACTAACCGTAACATTACAAACGTGATCCAAAGCTAAAAATAAAAATATCCATTTGGTTAAAAAAATACACTATTATTATTTGGATAAATTCAATGGGTTATAAAGGGTTTATACAAATCAAATTCATTATTACTAGTATACCAAAAGATATAATCTCTAATTAGTTCATATACAAAACCAGTGAAACGCTCATTTTTTCATCCAAGCAACTAGCACCAACCAATCGGTGATATTTCGATGAATATGTATTTTTAATGAGCTGGAAAGTATGTACCCTTTAGTTTTGAGTACCAGTTTTTCTGAACGATATAAAAAAAAATACAGATCTACACTCTTATGCTTATAACTGACTATAATTTGGACTGATAAAATGGGCCTAAAATGATTTAAAGGGATTGAATGTTATAACTAAAATTTAATTGCTATCTTTCAACAAAGATACAACAAAGATGTTTCACTGAGTTACTTAATGTTGAACTCTTCAAATAGTTATACTTTAGTTTAATTGTCTCAACTTTTTCCAACTCTATTGCCGCGTATACTAGTTCCCATGAGTTAATATGATTAAGAAGTAACAAATAAGTAAACAAGAGTGAATAAAATGAATATGAACTGATCAATAAGGTTCACAGTTCTACCTGCTCTACCCACATACACCATTTTTTGTGTTAACAAAAAACTAAGTACATAACCATGATAAATGTTGCTATTGTTACACTTTTATTAATTGTTTATATAGTTCTGTTTTATACTATCAGTGTATAAATATTATATCTTTTCGAAACCATCCGTTGAAAGAGTGCCAAAAGTTACGGTGTTAAGAAAACTACCTAATATTACGCTGAACAAGTTGAATAAATTCATTAAAAAATAATTAGCTCGTTTTTTCATCGCACCTTGTGGTCCCATTTCTAATTTATTTACTGTACAGTCAAATCAGCATTGTCTTCTCATTATCCTTTCAAAAAATGCCATTCAGTCGGCTAATGTCTGCTTGCAAGCATTCAGCGGGATATCGTTATCTAAATATCTGTCTATATTCTTAAAATACATAATTCACCTTATGTTTTTATACTATTTTTAGTAATCATTTATTTTTCATTTCTGTAGCGTCACTAGATCATTTCGTCCATTCCTTGAACACACTGATTAATCATGCATTTACAGATACATGGATTACTGTTGCTAGTATGCAGTCGGCTCGTATAGAATATGATGCTCATCGTAATGAAATGAATCAAGTCAAGAATAAAAAAACTACTATTAGTAACAATGCTGATACTACCGTTGCCAGTACTACAACTAAAATTAATATGCCAAGAAATTCAGTGGTCGCTGACTCAATTCACGATAATCATGATTTACAATCACGATTAGATGCAGCTTGTGAACGGTATTCTCAACTAAAAAAAGCTGTTCTGTGTAAATTGGAATTTTTACAAGAAAATAGGGTAAGTTTATTAATGTAAGTGTTATTTGACAGTAAAATAACACAAGTATTATTTTCATCAGATAGTAACCATTATTGGTGTAAACGTTTAAAAGTTCTTAGAAGAATCTTGTGAATTGTCGTGTTTTGCTTCAAGAAGAGGAGAGAGGCATGACAAACAGTCGGCATTGTACTAATAATACAAGAATACACATGTTGCGATTAAATAAATTTCACAATCTATACAAAATCGGATTTTCGATGCTAACAGCCACACACATGAAAAATAATCGAATGAGGTTGAATATTTTTGTTTAAGTGATTTAATATTGGAAGAAAATAAAGTACACACAACTAATAGAAAGGAGTAAGTAATGTTAACTACAAATGGTATTTAGAGTTACGGTGTTAAGCTCAACATTTGAAAATATTATCAATAAGATTTACGTTTCGGAGCAACTCCTAAAGTCTCCTAATTGTTTGTTTTAGTTAATAATGTATATTTGTAGAATCAGGAAAGTTAGTACACAACGATAAATTATATCACAGCACATAACATGCGTCATGTCGCTTTGATATTTTACACTCATGTATGTACAAAATGTTTAGCAAGGACAATCCTCTCTTCAAACTCTTTCAGTTTTAGTATCATTACACAATCCGACCAACAGCGTACTGATTTCTATCGGTTTGTGCCGTATATAATTGTGGTTATAAGTATGAGTATACATAATTTATACAAAGATTATTACACCTGGTGATTGCTAAACGAAGAGGGGTTGGAAACAACTAGGCGATATAGAAAACTTACTCGCTACAAAAACCATGGTGGGCTAGTAAAGTTATCATCCTGTTGTAAACAGTGAAAAAATGCACCAGAATTACGAGCTAATTGATACTACACAGAAATTATTTTAGATAGTCCTTCCAAAGAGCTAACTGAAGTATTGACCCTTAAAAAGACTGCCTCGACTCCATGTTTCAGATAAATATGCTTCAGTCGATTTGTACGACAGAATCTTTCAGTTTACTAAACTAAAACTACTAATAGTGTTCTACTATCATCTTTTTATTCAGAAACAATTTATGACTATGTTGGTTACTACTAAAGGTGAACATTTGGATAATTTCATTACCATCTGAGTTGTGGAAAATATCAGAGCAGCGTACTCGCTGAAAACATAATTATCATAGAAACTTCTTGATAATCTACGAATTACTTAGCAGATCAGTGACTAAATTATTAAACCAGTCTTCACAGAGGCTGTTTGGAATTCGTGATTCTGTACTTGGTATAGAATTGACATCTACAAAAGTGATCGTACAATTAATTATCATTATCATTTTAAATCAACTACATTTGCATGTCAGCTTGATCTACTTTCCGTTCACAATTCGCACACCTATCATGGACGATTGATGAAATCCAGGCATAGTACATTCTTCTCTAGATATAGAGTTAGCAATGTGTTTAAGAATGTTCTGAAAGTTATCAGTTTTTGTTTCAATTTTTTTCTCTCTCCAATTTGCATAGTTTGGTATTTTTTCTAAAAATAGGTTGCTATGTCCTAATTATGTAATGTTTGTGCTTTTTGCATGTAATTAAAATGAATTATCAAATTTGTACTGGTTTTAGAATGTGATTTGCATGTGTGTATAGAATGTTTATAATCAGTAAGCAGTTTCTATGTAATTTGGAGCTGATTCCTACTAAGTTTTATGCTTTAATGTGAAAGATTGTACTTCCATCCTATAATTTTGTAACTAGTGGTTAAATGAGCAGTAATTAAGCTTTATTATTCATTTTATCACTGAAAATTTAGTTTTTGAATTTATTATTTAGCAAGTTGCCATTATGTTGGTTGATTAGTTCGATATGTAAATGGTAATCATGATTTGTTCAGTCAGTTGACCCAGTAGTCTTAAAATGTAAACAGTTAAGATTCAACGGTCGGTTCCATGAAGAAATTCCGAGCTTGATTGCCTTCATGTTTCTGTAATTTTATCTAAGCAATCATTATGATAGATAGTTAATTGGGAAAAAACTGAATAAGTATCTTGGAACAATGCTATGTCTTATACTGTCACTAATTTATCCATTCAAGTATTTAAAATTTATTGTGAAAGTAGTAAAATTTTATTTTAGATTTGTCAAAACGAAACGTTGTAGTAGATGATAATACTGTAAACTACCTGTGTTTATTCCCTTTATTAAGATTTGTCACTGGTTTTTGTGATTACATAATTATTACCTTGTTTGAGCTTAAAAGGTTTGATTTACTACTTGGATAATCTCCCATCGGTTTAAAGTATTCATATGATATAGTGCTGTTTGTTAAAGATGATGAAAACATACAGTCGTATTAATGTTTTACTTGACGATTGGAGAGTATTTAGTATCCGTTTTTCTACTTTGTTTCACGATGAGCATTAAAGATTCCGATTGTAAATATTAAAAGAACACATTGTCTTCAGTCACAATGTTATCAGGCTTTACTTTAATATGCACGAATATTTATATGAAAATGTTAAACCAATCAAGGCAATTTATGAGTCAATAATCACAATGGGATCGATTACGTAACTATACATAATAAGTAATTGTACAAGTTGATAATAGGAAGAGAGGTGTTTTATTAGTGATAAGAATAATAAAACACAATAACAAAAGTTCAATATTGGATGTGTAGGTCAAACTTCGATAAATATAACTTGAAATAGAAATCACAAAGCTCTCTTAGGCTTACGCATTAAGAAGAATGTAAGTAATACTAATAATAAATTTATTTATTAAGCTATATCCTGACAAGGAGGGGACAGGGGTATCATGAATTTCTGATGAACGCAAATTAGAGTTGAATGTTCGGATTTCTATGACTTCTGCTATATGTTGGAGACGGGATCGAACTCCGTGAGGAAATAATGGAGGTGTACGATAGACCACTCGAGACGATTCAGTTTTCGTACTATGACCACTATCATTCAGGTGTGCCAAGATAGAGCTGTGTATTGTTTTTATCTGGCCTTTTGCAAACCATGCTGGGAGATACAAACATGTATTTCTTTAAGAACCCACTGAGGTAGCCGATCTTGGTTAGGATAAATCTCCGTCCGTGCTTAGTTAAACAATACCAAAATAGTTTGTTGCCTTAGTTTTATCTCTGTAGGTCAAGTGTCAACGAGTCAGTTTTAATGTTCTGAGTGACTCGCTTTATTTCTTCGTTATGAAGGACTGGAACATAATTCTATTGATAGGGTGTTATAATACTTTAAATTCACAGATTCGTTGTTAGTCAGTACGGTTCACCTATCCAGACCACAATAAAAGTTCATATCCACAACTTAATTAGTTTGTAACAGAAGTGATTTAGGCACGTCCTATTTTTACACGAATGGTGTAATAATTTATTTAGTTCATCTGCTACTATGAATATAATATTATTTCGAAACTCTCTTACTTGTCTCATTGTCATATTTATTCTGTTTATTATTAGCTACGTGTTATGCAACATCAATTAGTACTTTTACAAAATGCAACATCAGCATTCTTCTCAGGCAATAATCAACAACTGGATCAAATTTTAAACCAATATAAAATCAAATTATCAAATGCACAAAATGGAGTTAGCCATTAACCTTATTCTGTCTTTCTACTTGTTACTATTTCGCTTGCATTTTTTTTCCTTTATATAATATGAAACAGACGTGATTTATGATCTTGCCTTATGTTTGTGCTTGTGAACTCATTATGTGATGCACATCCATCCAGACGAATCGGTAATTCCCTTGACAAATCATTTTAGTCTATATATAAACACAAGCACCGATATCGTGACTTGGGTAATATTAATGATGAACATCCACAATGTTTTGCATTTCATTTTTTTTTTTGATATTCCTTTTTATTTGATAATGTTTCCCACTTTGTGTTTATTGTTTATGAAGTTGTTGCATATCATCAAAAAAGCATATTTACACTTGAGTTTTGGTGTTCGATCGCTGCTGGTAATTCTTAAGCATGCGAAAAAATTCGGGCCATATATGTCAAGGGTTGATGATACTACGTAACCGTCCAAACCAAAGTAGATGGAGCTGAATTCGAATGCTTGTTGCCATAACGATTAAGTCCCCTGTCCAACTAATCTGATTAGTAACTGCTCGAACTGAATGCTGAACGAGTCGTCCGGTGTCAAGCACAATCACGTTGAGAATACGACAGCTGCGGGTGCATACCCAACGTCTTGGAAATTATTAATCTCACTGCACTTCTTACTGATCATAGATAAGTTGACTTGTAGTGGCTAGTCTGCCATTATATCTGTTTTTAAAGCTGAAACAATATGATCACTTGTTAAAACTAGCCACTGTAGATTCTCCATATTAGGCCGTTAAATATCGATCTTCGAAAGAACCACAGACGAATGTGACCATCTGTAGATTTCAAAGCAGTAAATAAAGGATACCACGATTCAATAGTCAAGATACTGGCACAGATTATCATCATTCGTCTAGACGTCGGAAGTTGTACTGGAATTATTTTTGACTATGATCCAAAAATTATTTTATAGAGTTATACTGCTCTGCCAATGTGTTTACCTAAAAGTGATTTTCTTATTACGAAGGGGAAGAATTAAATCCTAGTAGTTCATAGGTGAAAAAATGTCCCTCAATTGTGTGCGATTTTCCGAAACAATAACTGTTGCCCAGTATCCACTTTTAGTATTTTCATGAGGGGGAATGTCATTATTTCTACATAGTTGGAAGTCAATCATAGTGCAATACCTATTGATCAATATTCTGTCCATCATTGTAACAAGTTAAAAACACAGGAACCTACTTTTGTACATTACATCGTACTGATCGTTTACAGGATTGAATTATGAAAACAGATATGAGATTTGTAAGGAACAGGAAAAGTGAACTGTACCATAAAATGTCACCGTATGATCACTGGAGGATGTTTAGTATCAGTCTGATTAGGAAGTAAGCACTTGGTTCGTAGGAGTGAATTCCCGTCGCTCTTGGTAAACGCTATTTTCGAGTCTTGATAGGATCCCGTACACAGATTTAGTAACGATGAAGTGAAGCTCGTTATCTTTTTATCTTCACCTTAAAACAAGATTGTTTTTATTGTGGATTTGTTCAGTCATACACTTAATGTAATTAGATAGACGCCTAACTCGGAAATAAACATTCGTATTTCTGAATCGAACTGATTTCAATGTTATGTTCGTTTTCAGCACTACAGAACAGCTGATGATTTTATTTGGATCGAACTAAATGATCTCCAACGGAAAATTCAGATAATCTTTTACGATCTAAAGAATAATACACTTGACAAGCTTACAACAGCATATACAAGGTATTTAGAAGACTATATTAACAGCACAACACAGATAAGCAGTTTTAAATGTCTGCTTTCTCGAGATAACATGTCGATCTCATTTAGTTAAGATGAGAGAGCGTGACAACTAACAACCATCATTTCAGTTTTTTTATGTTACATCTCAGAGTTGCGTAATGTGTTAGCTCCATACTTACTGAGTTGGTGATGGAAACGATATTACAGAATAACTGTCTATACGATTCGGCGATTTCTACTAAACGACTAGGTACGAAAACAATTAGCCTAATATCCCATTACATGTAATATTTAAGAGAAAAGGTAATGCTCACTATGAATTTACTTAGAAACTGATACAACTTCCCGTGTTTAAGCAGAGAAAAATCCAGCAAGTTAGTGGGAATAGACAGAATTCATGACAAACACCGAGAAGTAATCAATAAATAACGTTTTGAGAAAATAAACAAAACACCATCCAATCACATTCGTTAATTCTGAACTTGGATTTAGATAATACACTTGATTTTTCTTGTTTGTGATCCGTTTTTCCAAGTAAAAACCAAGTTTAATATAGTGTTTAATGGCTTATATGAAACGTAAAATGCTTCATGCTGTGGACTTAATGTTGGATTTTTTTCAAAACGGTGGTTAATGTTATTATGTACTCTAGATTTGTTCACTTGCTGTCGACAATAGACTTCATTTGCGTAAAATCTCGTCTTTATTTACAAAGATTTGACCATAAGTAAGAACTTTCAAATGTTTGTTGCTGATTATAAAAACTATCTAGAATTTTAATTATACAGTTCCAGATAGGGGCTAAAATAACTGCATTTATGTGCAATTCGAAACGGCATGGTACATCTCGAAACAACAAATCCTGGAATGAAACTGAAGCAGTCTATTTTGGCTGAATCAGTACTTATACTGTGCCCATTAGTACTTTTTTCTTCGTAGTGAGGTTCCTGCTACTATTCCACTTATTTTATTCCGCATGTTGGATCATTTGGTGACCTATTGTCAAAGCATTAATTTACCATTAGAAACACTGTCGCGTGGATGCTAATTGTAGACAACATCGAGATTCGGCGTTCTTCCGGGGCAGTGTAAAGTGACTTCATATTTTACTTCGCGAATTAAAAAAATCCGGTAATTGCCACCAATGAGCGAAGGTTGTTAAACAGGCTCAATGTTAGAAAGCAGAAGTTCATTATCGTAATTGTTAGCTAGAATTGACTGACATGTAGAGATATCGAAGACAATAAAAAAACAATGGAGTACTGAGTATTTACATAATAAAATTGAATTACACCAATCACTACTTGCATTCCAAATAGTCTCTCTTCACTTTGTCAAGTTTTTCTGTAGTTTTTGCATCAACAGCTATTTCTCTAAGACTGGATTTAGCACAGTGCTCATCGCGTTCACCTTCCTCACAAATAAGTTGATCTACTACTTGCTCGACGCAAAACAATAATTCTTTGTTTGTAACTGTTTCATCAGTTTCAGGACACTGTGGTTGTTCTTCAGCTTTTGTTAAATAATTGTGCAACTCACGTAAAACAAAATAAACTCCATTAGATCGAAGAAATGTTCGTCCGTAACTGGTGGCGCAAAACTAGATTAACACTTTAAAGGCAAAATAGACAATATTACCTGCAATAATGTTTGGCAAATTGTAAGATACAACTCAGTGGAAAACAAACGAGAGAATTGGGGGTTCCCAGTTATAATCTGCACAGATTTAGGCAACACAGCACGATCATCGTCGTCAATAGAATCCTCTGGACCACAAAGTGGAACTAAAAATGCACCAAGCAAGCCAACTTTGTCGTCAAAAAGTTCACAATGAAGTTCTGGAAAAACAAATTTAGAGAAACGTTAAATCAATACAATTTACCGTCTTCAAATGAGCAGTTTTTGATTATACCAGCTATGAGAATTTTCTTCGGAGTAGAGGAAATTTCTAAAAATAAACCAACCAGCTTTTGCACTAGTTCTGAGGAGCATATGGTGTGGCGTACTGATGTAAGGCTACTTAGATTAAGTAATATCTTCAATTACCAGAGTCAATAAATAGAATTGACTTACTGGAAGAAACTTCTTGATGGAAGCATCTGAACTGAGAATCGATCTAACATGTTGGTTATCAAAATGTTGACTGAAATGACCCAACCAAACGGGATCTCTAGTCAAATTTGAAATCAAATCAATAACTAGAGGCGCCAAATCAGCATGATTTCTTGAATTATCCAGAGCAAGTGTAGTAAGAATTCGAGTGAATTCTTCAGGTTTTTCCTGATTTGACAACAGGGTTGTTAAAAGGTGTATTCCTTGAGTAGAGGAGCATATGTTAATCAAACATTTGACAGACAATATGAATTCTTCTGTCAGTGCTAAAGAACAGAAATTATAAGGTTGAATTTAGAGGAATACATTACCCAAACAAAGATTATAAGATAACAGACAATGGAAAATCGATGGGGGAGAACAAAACATGGGATCCATATAAAAGCCGTTCAAAACGAAAATTTAGAGTGGAAAATGTAGTGAAATCTCATAGACAAGGGAAATGCTGGGCAGCATTAGGATACTCAGATGACCTCTCTGTCTAAATTGGTATTTTTATATTTTGATGACACCGATAAATAGAGGGCGGCACAGAACGTGGGGGCAGTTAAGACGTTTAAAGAAATCTTAGTAAACCAGTTTAACATTCAGAGAATGCTGAATAATGTCTACGAGAGCATTTTGGTGAAGACTGATCAGCATCCAATGAATAATAATGAGATTCATCGAGCCACAATGAGATTACGCGTAGGGACTACTTAACGATCGAAATGAATGCATACGGATGAAGTAACGACTAAAAGCTTAATTACTCTTTAGGCGATATATAGATCTTTTGTTCGTTTTACCATCAAGAAACTAATCACATGTTGCTCAAAATTTTTCTGTCTGAACTCCAGTATTGGATAAAATCCGAGTCTCCGTAAGAAAAAAACAGACCCTAAGGCTAACACATGGTAAGAGTACAGTTGTGCATGACGTTTTACTTTTATTATAATTAAGACTAAAGATGACCAAACCACAGTTAATTTAGGAACATTGTGCACTTTGTATAGTTTAGTTTTTAGTCTTTGAAAACAGGATTAACATAGATACCTCAAAGAATTTTACAAGCCCTGCACTAATTACTTGTCAGGTTATCATTCTACCGAAATAGTAATACATGAAATTAATTGTCTTAAACCATTTCAGCTTATTTAATAATAACATTTATAAGGCTGAATCAACTGAGACCTTTTATTCCCAAGGCTATCACGGTTTCCCCACAGTGGGCTCTTATTCGAACAACTAGCAATATCCAAAGTGGCAACGTCAGACACAAAACAGAAACGTGCTGATAAAGGCTGCTGAAATAACAGAATTGGAAAGACTGGCATGTCTTTTGGGCACACACGATCTTCTACCACAAATCGCACACAACAGCGTAATTTGATGTACATTAACAGGACATAATTTTCATATTGCAACTGAAGTAAACCTGCAAGCAGCGCTATTTAAGGTTTAAGCTTGAGTGTGAATACATCACAATGGTTTAAGAAGGGAGGAATATGTTTTGATGAATCTTCTCAGAGTTGAATAGGTGGCTACAACAAAAACGACGACCTGGAAGTAAGCAGACCAAGTGGCTAATAAAAGAAACGGAGTCGTATCTACCAAAACAGACTGTAGACACTGGAATCAATAAGTGACTTTTAGGACAATTTATTTATCATATGAATCGATAAAAACAAGATACGAACCTTTTGACAAATCAGACGAATTAACTAGTTTTACGACTTGCTTTAAGTAGTGCTCAAGAAATTCATCTTCGAAATCGGTTTTAGCTGCAGTAACTTGCAGCAAAGCATTTAATTGACAAATCTGGGACATGGTAGCGCAGCTAACTATTTTGCCACATCCGTCATTAAATGTTCCACGGACAAAGTCTTAAAGCTTTTTTACGAAAATAACGATCGCGAGGAGTCCCACTAATTTTTTTTGCAGTCGGATACCTCGTCCAAATTGAAAACAGTATTACTGTTCCCGAACGATCGATAAGATGGCGTGGAAGTGCCTCAGTATTTTTTGACATGATTACAGTTGGCGTTCATGATTTAGGAAACCATACGAATAGACTCTAACGTAACCTCAATCATGAGAATCTACCCATTATACAATATCTTTTTCATGAACTGGTATAAACAAATTGATAACTTTGCCCTCGATTCTTGTTCCTACGGTACGTTTCCAGGTATTTGTTAGTGTCCAGTGGATGGTTGTTTAGCCACTCACTACACTAGTTATAGTGAGTTAACATTTTCTCAGGAATTCGTATTTCCCGTGTTTTTCGCAATTGCACTAGTCTCAGAAGAGTAGGGTTTTGGGATGCCAGCAGCTGGAGATCAGTTAGTTACAATTTGGGTAATAATAAGGAGAAAATCCAAATACGAATAAGAATAGGAAAATCTTAGGACTACGTGAATAATTAAATAAGTTAATTTATTGGTGGTAGAGATTTAGAGATAACAGGCTAGATAGAGTATGGTAATGATCTGGATAAATGACAATGGTGGCAACTAGCACGTTTCGAGGCCTGTATCAGGCACAACTGATGCAAGAGGGATATGGTAATCCGTATATGAGTACGTGTTTATCAAGTCTCGTCTTGAAGTTATCCACTGAGGCTTCTGTGCTCATTCCTTCTGAGAAATCTCATCAATTTAGAACAAATCTTATTACGAAACATTTAAATCAACATGAGTTTTTTCATTTGATGTGCGATTGTTCGAGGGTAACTTGGAGTTGCCGGTTGATGATGTTTTGACGGAAATTTCTATGTAGTTTCTGCTGCTTTCCGAGCTACCTTTGGGTATTAGACCGAGACGCAAGTTGTTTTTGTCACGTGGAATAGAAGGTTCATGACGTGACATTTTTACTGATTAAGTTTTATCCCGTCGAACACTGCCAGCTCATATGCACTCTACTTAACTTGGTGCGTGATCTTTTATTCGCTTGGCAGTTATTGAGCCAACACAGAAGTGGATTAGTGAAACTTATTTTCGAATCCTACGATATTAGGAGAACGTGGGGAACCATGATGAAGGCTTTCTTAAAATCAAAGAACATCATATGAACTGTCACATGCTGGTCAGCTCATTGAGCGCTGGGATTTCAGTTTTTTCAGTATTAAGTAAGGATTAAGTTGGATCTTTCTAAGACCATGAGGTAGCACTTGACTTGAGTACTACTCCGAGGTTGCGTGTATGTAGCTCAACTTTTCTGTGAAATCAGGATTAAAAATCTCAAAAAATCAAATTTGTCAAGACATTCGCTAATTAGTCTTCTGAAAGTACAAATAACTTGGTTCGTAGGTTTTCTTTGTCTTGAACTAAAAGTAGTATTATAGGCTTATCTATCTTTTTGCCACAGTCTTCATCTAGCAGTGTCTTCTACCGCTTCACACATTTGTGTTGCGTCTGTTTCTCAATGCTAAGTGAGAAATACGATCAAAATCATTCAGATACTTTCCAATGATGTCAGGCCCTCATTCTCGCCAGTAGAAGGCATCCTATGCTTGGCTTAACCTAAGACTGACTTTTCAGGTATGTGATTTGAATGAGGCACGCTATGTAAGATACCATTCTCTCACTGTCCTCGGTAATCATCCACCGTTGGTCCCCACCACTTTCATGACCATGAGGCGTGTAGGAGATAATCATATATGGAAATGTGGCTAAATTAACGCAAGCATTAGCATTCAAGAATGCAAATAATGTGCTTGTTGTGCATGAACTTACGAAAATATGTGAAGTGGTTAACCAACCACGGTGCAAACATAGTTATGCAGCATTTTCCAATAAATATATGTTTTCTCCAAACTCAGTCAACATATCAGCCGCTGGTTGATTGATAAGGGTTTTAATGTTGTTATTCTAATACATTCCTCTTGTGAAGGCTGATTCAATAAATCAGTGCTGAGTAACAAAATGATAAGCTAATCAACTCTGTCATGTGTTGAGTTTTGACCTCAATAGCTGTTTAGCGGAAAATTGTTTATACAGTAAATGAAAACTAATTTTCTGCTCTCTTTTCATAAGTTTTCATCAGGTTGTACAAACAAAGTTTCAATCTGGTCATCAATCTAGACGATGCAATATTGGTTTAAATGTGGATCGGTTTAATTTGAACAACCCTACATTCCAGATGTTATTATACTGTCTACTACTCAGTAATCAGTCAACTCATACGTTTCATTTTCACACAATGTCAGTTTCAACTTGAACATCTCAGCAGTACCGTTTCCTAATGATGAGAAACGAAGCAAATACAATGCAACAATTCTTCCATGTTTCTCCTATCTGCTCGATTTTTCATACAGTTTCTAAGCATCAAACTACTCATCATTTCAACCAATCAACTATGCAATGTGAAACATATCTCAATTCTTATTGGTGCATTTTTCTATGTGTCCATCACATACAAGCTTAGAAAATGCAAATGTATATAAGCAAACGATATTTCGGACAAATTATTCATTAACTTGTCATACTGCGAATAATCGGTCATGCCTGGTAAGTCTATTGTTCTGTGTCATTAGTCTCTATCCGCGATAAACAATACATCATTAAAAGCAAGCACATCAATTATGCTGAACATGAAATATGTTGTTCCTATTAAAATTACAGGTTGTGGTGGTGCAAACTGTAAATGCTGTTCTGGATGTACATCAGGTAGCGGATGCAATTGTCCATCTGGTCAATGTCAATGTTCTGGGTGTACATGTGGATGTTCGTGTCCTTCCAAATGCAAATGAAATGACATTCGGTCATTTCAAACTACATTCAGATTCATCGATTATTCATTGCTTAGCATATTGATAAATTTCAATAAATGATTAGTGTAATCATATTTTGCGTTTTTCAATCATGTTGCATATTGAGGAATTCGATGTTTAGACAAAGAGATGTGGTGATAATTATTAGTTTCCTTTTTGTAGAGAACTGTGCATTCTGTATTGCGATTAGGCTTCTCATAGACAACCGAATGTTATGAGATGAGTGTCCAGTAGTTGTGAATAATTTGATTCTGGTATATCGTGAAATATTTGCTGTGATATGACTTCACAGTAAGACTGTTGCTTAGTGCTACTATCTACCATTCGTGAAATGCAAAAGACTTTAGATTTCAATAAATTTGATTGATTTATTGAACAAGACATTGCGCTTCACTTGATGCTCAATATCCATTTTATTTCTTCACATTGTATCTTGAGTATCAACTATTGTCACGTCAACACATGCAAATCAAAATGATCAAACTATACATATCGCAGTTAAAGATTTATTCATGTGATCATGTTTCGAATCACTCAATCAGTTTTATTGAAGTTCCACATCAATATGAACCGGAAACATGTAAAATGTGTTAGCATTATGAATTGTTAGTAAAACAATATCTGAACAAAGTCTCCGAAGGGGTGATTTTTCAAAGCGAATTTTTTGGTGACGCTGTAATGTTAAGAATTTAAGGCTAATTTAAAGTATTATCTTTAGCCATAAAACGATGCAATGTCAGTCAGTTTTTACACGGTTGTAAATAAAATAAATTCTACAAAACATGAATATGATTCGGAAAGTATAATTCAGTGAGGTAAATTTAGAAGGAGAAAGATGGGGATTCTGAGGAATTCAGAAGGTTAGAATTAGAGAGAACACAAAGAGTGCATGCACTTGCACTATTGTTAACGATTCTGAGCAATGTTGTTCAAGGTTTCTAACCATTGGTGCCTTCGCTCTTGGACCACAACCAGGTAGCCTACATCTATCAACATGACTCAGTCCACTTGTCGGTGCTTACATGGATTTGTGCCATGTTTTGGTTTGACCGCCCCTACCTTTCTCCCAACATACTGTCACACCACAAAACATAAATCGACGAGGCAGTCGGTGGTTAGCCATACAAAACACATGTACCAACTAACTATCCTCATACAGACTGAGATAATTTTTTCACCCAGTCTAATTCCTTATTTTTGTCTAGTTTTCATAATTTATAGATTTATTTCAACTGGCTACAGATTTTACAACTATCTCAGTAACAAGTTTTTTTTTCATACTCTCAAATGGAATTATTTGAGATAAGGAAATCACATATCCTCAGGATTGTGGAGTTTTGGTATGTTTATTCAACTCCTTATATATTTGTGAACGTTATCTCCTTTCTTAGCAACCAGCCTTTTACGACTTTCGCCTCGTAGATATGCATTGACCTGGTAAAGCTATAATTTTGCAAACAATAAATCAAATTATGATGATTGACTGAAGTTTAATGTGTGCATATTGAGATGTTAGGTGGTATGAGATATTCAATAGGAACCCACGACATGGTTTCGTTCTGATAATCACTTGTCGTTAAGGTCCACTTGTTGTATTCTTACGATAACTAGCTTATTTAACTTCATGTCATCCAGCTTCACATACCAGAAGGTCACCATTTGGCTATGGGGGCAGCATCTGCTGACCTCTATAGGACTGATATATTCACTTGAAACCTGTGTTCAGGATCTCCTGTTCAATACCTCCAAACACCTAACATCTCAGCGTAATACACACGATATATGGCCACTGAGATCAGTGACTATATTTTCAGTTGGTGAGTTAGATTCGATCAGCACTAAAAGCATTGAATAAACAGCACATTGATCACTACTCAGTGATCCATAGATCAAATCGAATAGCATGAATGATGTACGCAAGTTTTTTCACTGTTTTAGTTCAAGATGTTTGTGTGAATAATTCAGTGATTTTGTATCATAGATTGTTTACTTATTGAGGAAACCGAACATAGAGCTCCTGAGAATCCCGCTTTTCATTCTTTCGTAAATATACTTTCTACCAGGTTTCTAAAACCCAGAGACAATTTGTTGCTTTGCAAAGTATACTACTTAAGTAACATAAAATGTTATCGACTCAATTAAATTTGTTTTCAATATTGCACCGAAATATAAAACGTAGAATAAAGAGAAGTATCGTGTCATAATTTAGAGTAGATGTTTTTCACATGCTACTTATCATTGTGGTACCTTTTTACTGGTTTTGATCAGTTCACCAAAAATGTTTGTTTTGTTTTCCAAAACGGAATACCGATGCTTTTTGGGTTATGGCAACTTCGAGACACTAAAACCCCTTGCTTTATTATTCAGTCAAAGAACGTTATCAGTAAGTAACTTGGATATTTTGTTTTGTTTCTGTAAAAATCGTAATGCTTTTATCAACACTTAAGCATGCTGTTTTTCACGTTCACTCATATTGTTAATAGTCACTACATCTTACTCACGTCTGTTACCCTTCTGAAGCTTAGGCAGCAGACTATCATTCTCCTTGGCCTTCATTTCTAGCTCTGTCCAACTGTAGTTCATTCTTCCAATGTCTGTTCCCGATTCTCTGCTCGAAGTGTTCTTTGGACTTCCTCTTTTACTCTGTCCTTGAGATTTACAAGTGAGGGTTTTTCTTATGGCAGTGTTTCACATTGTCCGTAATGTAAACACAATATGATCAGGTACATACTTGTCATGAATGTAACTAATCAACTTTCTCAACCAGTTTATTTCTTTCAGTATATTTCTACTATATTTAATAAGTTTGATTTGATTGCTTTCTTTGGTTTCAGAAGTACTATTTGCATCACGCTACTGTCTATTTGCAACTTAGTCATTTAGTCTTTCTATAATCTACACTTATTTACTATTTAAGATTTTCGTTCAGATTCGCTGTCATCTTATTTCAATAATTGAACAAGCATGCATTCTATGGAGTTGACTTTACTTATTTTAGAATGATCAGCCAGAGATCTTGTATGTACGGTAATTTTGTGATGACCATGTAATTTATGCGACTAATCAACATTACCGAATGATATGGTTCGTTCACGAACTATTCTTTCACTGTTAAATCTTTCGCATTATGATCGCTATTGCAATAATTTCTGTTAGTTTATTATTTATGCTTATGAATTTCATTTCGCTGTACTAATGTGTTGTGTCGACTTTGACGAAATGTGCATTTGTTTCAGGTTTTACGACGATTGTGACTGATCATTAGATTTTATTCAGAACGAAATTTAGCCCACCAAAGTAATAGATATTTTTGGTTGTTTGTTGGAATGGCATTCATTTTCCTTTCTATACCTTCACCTGTTTCTGCATTAATAGACTGAAAACAGAAACAAATGCTTGCACAAACTTTACGAAGTAAGATTATGTTTCTTAGTTTTTCAACATTATCACAAGAAAAGGAATATAGAAGAAATATAGAAGAAATGAGTTGTTTTCATGTGTAGTTAATCAGTTTTTTTGTATCAAAGTTGATAGAAATAATTGATTTCGTTATACAATTATTTAGTAAAAACAATGGATTTAGTCCTAACATGATTCGAAACAAATAATCAGACTTTGAACAAAATTTCTTTTGTAATATTCTCAGTTCTCTATTGTGTTGAGTTGATGTGAATTGGTTAGCGAACGGAGAGATTGAATAATCAAGAATTGGTTTGTTCAATTGTTATTCACAACAACAATAATTTCACTTGTCATGACAATTTGATCAACACATCTATCTATGAGGTAAGTGTATTTAGTAAAAAATTAAATCAATCGATTGAAAGCGATCATTACTCTAATAAATATTATCCGAGTTTTTAGAGCTTTGAAGGTGTTTATTGAACCAATCACGTGCTCGTCTCAATAATCGTACAGGGAGGAAACTTTGATCTGTAGTTTTCTCGTAAACCGCTTCATTTTCGTCTGATTGACAAGATTTCCGATTTTCCCAGTGAGCTAAGCTAGCTAATGGGAAACAAAGTATACCGGATACTAAGACAGATAATCCACCAAGAATGAAGATTAAATTAAAGTTCTTGAACTTGTCATACATTGCACCTGAAAGTGAGTATAAACAGAACGAATGATTAACATATTGTTTATATTGGGAAAACGAATTTGAGGACAGTTTGTCAGCAACAGAAAAGATACTGATAAACGCTCAAATGACAAGAAATTTATCTAACAGGTTATTTATAAACATTATATTTTTACTTCCATTCAGTGATTCATTTCAAATATTTGCTTTCATTGTAAAATGGTGTACCTTCTACTGCTTATCACAAATCTTAATGTAATGTAACATACTGTTGGAAGCGATTTTTAACATCAACGTTCACCAGATGAAGAGCTATCGAAAAGATGATTCTTCCAGGTCATAGACTTCACAATGATAAACACACATAGCTTTATTTGTAGTCTATTCTTAGACAACTAAGTTTGAATAGAAATATAATACTAATTAAGTATTGTGATACAATCTAATAGTCGCTATTTCCAACTGTCGTCGATTCGTAATATAGTGATCTAACTCAACTGTTTCTATCATTGAAATACCGTTCCATTCTCGAATTTACTTTACTTGAGAAAGTAATCTTCAAGTCAAGAATATATTCACAAAGAAATAACCCTGAAGATGTCGTTTCCACTGTTAGCTAGTTTCATCCAGCTGAGTATCATGAAAGTTCATTGAAAATATATGATCGATAAATACGATTAAGTTGAATGGTGGAGGATCCGTCATTGATTAAATTTCAAATATGGTTGTGATGCACTATGAATCTAGTTGAATTTTTGAAAGGTGACCATTAGACTTTAAGTTAGTGTCTTAGTTATATTCTGCTAGTATATGTCTTAGGTTAGAGTGTTTGAAGTTGTGAATGTGGGTTTTCAAAGTGTCTACAACAAAGCTGAAGTATAACTGTTTATTCAAATAATTATGCGTCAGTTGTCGATAAGAAAAAGCCATTTCTTTAAAGATAAATATCGATAAATATTTCTTGCATTGTGATTTAGTTTTCACACTCAAAGAAACACTTTCAAACATATAAACAATTACAGATGCAGGAACGGAATATTTCTTGTCACTTTTGTGAATTCCACAAAACTTATTTTCATGATATTCACGTGAATTTTTATTACTTTCGGGATTGTTCATCCACAATACATCCACAACTCTAAAATGCATCCTGTTTTAATCGCTTCAACAATCAACTTCACTTAAATATCTCGTTATCTTATAAAAGATTACAAAACTCACCAAATGCTGGTGGTGCCCCAATATATGCGAAAGCTTGAAATAGTAGCATGTATCCAAATGCATTAGTTAGTCGATCTAAGCCCAAAACTTGGACAATTAAAATTGTTCGAACAGAAATGAATGCAGCTGTCAATTAACCAATCATACAGAAGAAAGAAAAGAAAAGGAAAGTCAGAGAAAGATGGTTTCAGTTAGCTACATGCTCATCACAAGTTGATTGTACGCGACTTGTGAGATCATGCGAACATATGATTGAACATGACTAAACATTCGATATTTCGGAATTATTATTTAACAAGGACATGACATTGTGTGTTGAAGTATTGAGAATGCTTTTGTAAACATTTCACCTAATTGTTCACCCTGGTTCTCTTCGATTAAGTCTTTTTTTTCTGAAACTGTTTCTGATGCACTTGGACACGGTGTTCACAGTTTTTGAACCAAAACTCTATGCGATACTTCACTTTCCTTAGACATAGAAGTAGCCTATTGTGATCAATTGATGGATCTGAAAGCTGATAATATCTTGTATGGGTGTTTCGTATGTTCGATAATAACTAGTTTCTATCTGCATTAAGCAGTACATGTGTTTGTATTTAATTATGTTCTCTAGGTAGTAACAAAATTTAGTTTTATCTGGTATATTTTAGTCCTGATCAAATTCTATCTTAACACTCATCCATAATGGCCCTTGCATTACGTCGATGTATTGTTTGGAGGTATCAGATAAGAAACGTTGGACCTAAATATCTATCTAGTTGGCATTTGTTACCAGTGTGTGAAAGAAAAGTAAACAAACAGATTCAGTTTCATTTCAATTTATCGATCCATATAAAGAATGTGATAAGAATGTAAATCGGCTATATACTGCTGACTGTTCACACAATAGGCTATTGAGGAAAATCAATGTCAAAGAATTGTATGCTTTGAAAGATATTATATTCGCTGATTAAAAAACCTATAGAAAAATAATTTATGTTTGATGGATATATATACATATAAGGTTTAAAGTGCAGTGAACTTACATATTGAAAGTCCGTATATACATGCATAACCAACCAGTCCTCCGTAAACTGTAACTAACGGGACTAGAGATGTAAGTAATCCGGATGTAACTAGTGAAATGTTATTTATGTAGAGCACATTAGCCCATGACTGGTCAGATAACCAACCTGAAAAGAATTTTCATGAAATCTAACAGGTTATGGATAAATTGATGTTTGCAAAATTATTAAACTCAATATTATCTTCATTTAACATGTACAAATAAATGTATGTTTATCGCCTAAAACTGTTGGATAGTTAGTTCATTGGCTATGTGTAAATATTATTTCACAACTGAATTTCTCAAAATTGACAAATTTAAATTTTTTTATTTGAAGCAATCTGAGAAATTTACTCAGCATAACTGTTTATTTTTATTTTAGGTTAAGGACCATCTGCATGCAAATAATTAATTGTACATGAAATTGAAAAATGAATTTATTTTTAACTGACAATTTGTTGAATTCGAGTTAAGAAGTCTCTTAGGAAGAAGTTAGTGAATTCCATTTTAGCAAACAGTATAATTATATCCAATTGATCTGACGATAAATTTCAGATAAGAAAACTTCCTTTTTTTTTCTTTGAAGCATTTAATTATTTTGCTAATCGTGTTCATTATTTTACAACTAATAATGATTGTTTCAATGTTTGTAGAGTGTAAATATTTTAAATCTCCTACATATATATAGTCTTTTGATGAGCAATCACTGACAACAAACATCCATATGTCATTAGATATTTCGTTTATATTTTGAATATATATTATCATGTGGATCAGAAATTCGCTTTTATGTGGTTTAATTGCTAACCAAGTTTAAATTTATTCTATTGACTCAATAAATGATTCCATTTGGTTGATGATGAAATTTCGGTGTCGACTAAATGAATCAAACTGTGTTTTGTCATGTACTCGAACTTTATTGACTGTGTTTATAAATAAAACGATATGAAACAACCTCAATTTGTTCAGTTTGATCACAATCAGGATTTTGGAGACATTGTATTCTTCCAATCACTCTCATCCATAAATATCTACTACCTGACTTGCAGTATACCAACTGTACATTTCTGTTTGTATGTGACACGGGTAAATTCAAGGATGCTATGAGCATCTGGATAAAAGAGCAACAATGCCCAAAGGCAACGTCTGACTTGATCTTGTTCCATTAACTTCGCTGTTGTTACTGCAATTTTTGATTCTTAGAAATTTATCCTGATCAGAATTGTGGAAATTCATGTGAATGCATATGTTTATAAGGTTCTACTTTATTTTTAATTGACAGTTGATCGATTTATTTAGTCATTATTGCAGACATCCTATAAAAAATCCATTACATATGTCCATATTCAAATTTTATTTATTGATTGATATGATTTTCACGAGCGATGTAACTGACAAAATAAATGAGGCTGTATCTCATATCGATTACCTTTGGAAGAAACCCTAATTTTTTAAATCTAGAAAAATATATAAACTGATGGAATGAAATTGAAGCATATTCAGTTGAATCCCTATACCCTCTCCAAAAAATATAAACTTTTAAGGGGTGTATTTGAATCTAAATAACTTAGAACTACTATATATGCTACGGAAGTAATCTAACCTGACGGTTAAATATCTAGAATCTGTTTAAAATTGTTCTCATCTAGAAGCTTCCTCCCTCTCTTAGTGAGAGCATAAAGGTGTTTTTAAAAGACTAAAAGTGTAGAACTGTAAGATGCTCTGTGTTCAATACATCATTGTATGATTAAATTCATCCAAGTTACAGGACAGAATATAAACAAGAGCAATACTGTGTCCAGTGTGAGACAAAACACTAACTCAATCAAGATTTACAAGCTGAATTGAAAGAGAGAAGTGACAATTTTCCAGTCGATAAAAGCAAGTGAATCAATTGAAGTGAATTTCTTATCATCTAATTTCAAAATAACTTTCATTTTCACACTCATTCGCTGCCCTTAAACTCACAATATCTGACCTTCGGAAAATGAAAAAAATTTAATATTATCACATCAATAAACGATTACGGAATTCTATGATTTATGAAATATAGCAAACTACAGTTAGTGATGTATTTTGATGGATAGTCTGGCAGTGCAACACGCAATCATCACGTGTGAATATACAACATCAAGTAATTTAACTAATCCTTTTGAATTAAAGTGACTGTTCCTCATTGAATAAGATTCATTACAAAAGACTTTCCTCGAATAACCGAATACTGATCTAGCTAATATGTATTTTATTCCAAAAACTGTCACGAGCAATGAAAACTCTTATAACTTAAAGTACATTCATTTGTTCTTACTTTAATGACCAACATTCATTAATTCAATACAAATCGAATGGGGCAGCTTGCTTATTTTGAAGCCCTTTGTTCAGATTAACTATGAATTGAAATCAACATTGTTGTTGCATATATTCATTTGGACAAGTGACGAACTTTTTTTTATTAAATGATATCATAAATAGTTAATTAACTTCCACATGTAGACTGAAATCTAATGAACTCGGAACAAGGGCCTGCTTACTTAAACACCTAATAAGCAGAATGTATCGGTATATTTAAGTTGTTGCAAATCATCCAGTCTTTTTTTAATTTTGGTTAATAAAAATAATTCACAAATCAATAAAGATGAAAATGTAACTACTACGTTGAAGCAAAACATCAAACAGTTGCTCTAAGTCAACCAGTTATCCTATCATTGAACGTATTATCGTTATTTCATATATTTTAGAATTGATTAGCTTAGTGTTTCTTTGTTTCCCTGGACAAGTTTAGATGCTTATTCTATTATCCGTGAATATCGAAACACTGAAAAACAACTGAACACATATGGATTTGAATAGACTGATGATAGCCCCTATACACTGTTAACATACAAAATGTGCACACAATCTAATTGATTAGTAATCGTTGTATTTTCTTCATAGACAACAATAAAAAAGCAGTATACATCAGAAATTCACTTCAATCCTATAATGGAGTGCAATAATTTTAACTATTTGATACAGTAGATTGCATTGTTTACAACAACAACAAAAAAAAACAATTCTAGTGATAAAAGATTATAAAAAAACTAATTGGATTTGTTTACATGACTTTATAAACAATGAACTGTTCTTTCACTGAATTACCTGTCAATATTCTTCCTACTGTATTTAAACCACCAAGATAAGCTAATAGATATGATGCAGATGATTCACTTGTTCCTAACTGTTGAGCGTTATCTTTAAGAAATTGATATGGAACACAATAACCTAAAGACATGAAAAATATATATGCAACACAATGAAGTAGAAGAAGAAGAAAAACAATTAAAAAGAATCAAAGTCTCGAAAACAAAATCTAAGCAACTAAACACACACCTTATTACTTAAATACAAATAGAAAATCTTTACCGTTTATGCAAATTTAACTAATGATTTATAAAGAATAATTATTATGATAGTTATGCTTCAATGTAAAATATTCACTCCTTTGATTAGTAAATAATAAAGGATTAGTAGTGTTTCCTATTACTATCAAGGTTAGTGAACGAATATTATCGATCAACTGTATACGCAGATGAATAGTTAGTAGGACAAGCAAACTAACCATTAGGGTATGATTACTTAATTTCAACAACAAAATGAACTATATAAATAGCCTCAAAATTAAGCAAAACAGAGACATGGCTTAGGCTTATAGATGATGTTCAGAGTCTATCAGTCACAAAGTGGCTATCAGATCCTTCGTAAAATTATGTATTTGAAGAAGTTTGAAAGGTTTTTTGTAGTGATCTACAAACTAATAATTAAATTGATAAAATGTTTTAAAATTTCTATAATATCAATTAAAACAAAATTGTTCATTTTTGACGTAAATTATTAGTCATTATTTTACATAGCAGCTATTAATTGACATTAAAGTTATTACTTCACTAGGTCAATAGTGAAATCAACCGTTTATCCAATAATAATAATCATAATAATAGTAAAATAATAATAATCTTTAGCAATATCTCAATGATTGGAAATGTGTATTTTTGGACATTTCATAATTTAATGCAAGTCCCCTACTTCAGAGTGAACGTTTTGAAGGTTAAGTGCTTGATGGCTAAGGTTGAGAATGCTCACTATTAATTGTCTCATAACAAGAGGAAATAAGTTTATGTGCATCTTGTTTTTAGTGGTTGCCTAAGTACAATCATCGAATAATATAATATTCTATCTATTTAATTAGTTGAACGATATTCAAATCCTACACTGATAACCTGTGTTTTTCTGACTTATCATCAACTCGCATTAACATAGAAGTAAAATAACTTGGTTTCAGGCAGTTTCGTATGAAGATAAGCATATTTACATTTGTATTATCAGTACCTCATCTATAAATTCATTAAATTCAATTGAGCGAAGCTATAATTACAAGGTCAAGAATACTAGTATCCTTTTATGTAATATTTAAATGCTTTAAAAATTATTTCAAAAAACTGTTGCATCGCTTTCAAAAAATGTATAAACACTCACCGATCATACTGAGTACACTGGAAATTGAGAGTAGTATAAATGTTGGACTCTTCAATAATTCTATATCTAAAACATTTTTAATCATAGACCAAATTGGTTGACGTATATTCATTTCTTCAGCGGGAATTGTTATTGATCGGATATATGAAGCGACATCAGCAGTAGATAAGAACTGAAAAATATTTTTAGAAATGATTAAATCACATTGCGCTATATCATTTCAATTTTAAAGAAAATAAGCTTTTTAAGCACTTATCGAATTTTAATTTGTCATAAAGAAACATTAGTTTCGATAAAATTAATAAAAATATTGACACAGAATACTTGTAAGTGTTTTAATTATCTAATAAGGCTTTATTTTAATTCGTACATAAAAATTTAGTATGATATCTATTTTTCAACCTAATGGGTAACTTGGAATTCTTGTTCATGTCGAACTGACATAATCTGCATAAGATCTATAAATCGAAGTTCACTGAACAGTTGTTTAATTCTTGGATTAAAACTGCTCTGTAGCATTTGACTATTCACCCGCATGAAGTTAAGATCGGAAAATTCACTTATCATGGTATGTACATTTTCGACTGTTAATTTATGATGTAACAACGTACTTTCTTTTATTTCAATCTATTCACGTTACAGTATGATTCTTTGTGAGGAGTTGTCACGGCCAGACCATAACATGGAAGAAATCCATGAAGTCACTGACAAGTGGACTGAGTCATGTTAGTAGGTGTCGAATACCTGGTTGGGGTCCGTGAGACTGTAGTAATCGATGGTTAGAGACGTTGAATGACAGGGCTCAAAATCGTTTGCTATGGCGCAAGTGCGTCCATTCGTTGTGCTCTCTCAAATCCTAATCTTCTGGATTCGTCAACACCTTTACCTTTGTCTTTTTAACCTTATCTCACTGAATTATACTTCTTGAATAATATCTTCAAACCCTAGTCTTCTTCATTACCATTAATACCTCTACTATCTTTATAACTATGGGATTTGATTTGACATTTGCGTCTGTGTGCTAATGTGGTATGGCAATATGAACTTATCTACATACGTACGTAGTTCTAAGTTGCAACCGATGATTCTTTGTCTAAGCTATCACTGAGTACCTGTTTTATTCTTAGTATAATTAACTGAAAAGTCCTTAGTTTTGAATGACACCGAATGTTCGTAAAGCTATCCAATTAAATAAACTCTCATATATTGACAGAGATAAATGATTTGTTTAGCATTACCTCTTAATTTTTTTTTCATCTAATTCGAGTTTATAATGGAACTATTCTTTCAAAATCAGTAATTAAAATTTATGTATAATTCAACTCGACTTTAATAATAAACAATAATAGATAGAATATTATTTATCCGTAATAATTCCAATATTGACTTGTTCATCCTAACTTATAAGTAAACTCGAAATATTATATCTTTATTTATTACTTGATAAATAATATGAATTGGTAAATAGGTCAGTTATTCTATCTATTTATTGTAATCAGCTAGTTAAGACTGATCGGTACAAATTAACCATTTATCCATTACTAACTAATAGTTCATGTAATAAAACTAATCTAAACAAAAATATCATTGAACATTATGCATAACCATAATTAACTAGATTTGATTTGCTTATTCTTCACCTATAAGAAGGTATTTTCACTGAATTGTGCTGATGAATTAGCCAGATAATACTTTAAAATGTGAATGAGTAAGAAAAGTGAAACTTCAATTTTCAATCTCACTAACCATTGAACACCTTCATACTATTGGTAGTAGAGGCAAAAAAATAACATCATATTTCATAGCTAACTCACTTCATTCAGATGTATTAAGCTTCCACTAAGGAATAAATCTTTCTTATAGGCTGGTCTTGACATTTCTTTCTGCAGTTCATCTACAATCGCTTGACACACTGATGGATCATTCAACTGGTTCAATTCGGCTGCTGGCATTTTCAGTGAAACAACTGAAGCAAAGCAAGCATTACTGCCAAAGTTATCTGGCTAAGAAAGGAATTAATAAAACAAAAATTGCGAACAGATAGAAAAGATGTGATGTTAGAAATGTATTTGAAATTCTGTTAGTTGTTCAGTTAATTAAACGAGTATAATGGTTGTTTAGTTATGAGGAGAAGTATTTTCCTCGAGATTTCTAGCCTGGATATTGTATGAAAGTCTTTTCACAGTTGATACACAATTTATAAGTCCAATCATAGGTAGTTAGTTCTCATTTGGTTAGATAATTCAAATGTTCACTGATTTATTTTACGGAATTTGTCATTAAATAGATTTTTGTAATAAATCTCTTGGTTTTAACCATTAGGATAAGACTGCATGATGCATGCATGGTGCATGTATTCAGATAAAACAACATATTGAGTGTTTTCACTCAATTTAAACTATGGCCATACATTCTTTGAAAGTACGAAGTGATTTTTGGCCAAGATATCACTAGTGTTGTTTTTATTTCTTTTTCTTAAATCACACATTTCATTTCATTGTTTGGCAATCTTTTGTAATATTCATTGGAAGAAGAAAACTACTCCTATCATGAAATAAATTTCGGTATTCTAGGGCGAATAGTATACAACAATAGAATGCAACTTTTAGGGCTAGCATTATTACTATGTATATTTTTATTGTATAATGTGTTAGGACTTAAACTATATTTTCATATTTGATTAGTTCAAAGCTTTTGTTTGACATGGAAATACTATTGTTACATGTCTTGATATTCTAGATTTATCACTGAATAATTATTTATATACTACTACTGGTGGTTTTGTGTCATTTATGATTGTGTATATATTGTAATTTTCTAATTGTATTATAATATAAGGTAAGGCGTTTTAGGCATATTATGGCATAAGCTTCAAGTTATTATTAAACAGATTATAAGAGAGAAATTACAATCGAGATTTCAATGGTTTTATATTTAGCAAACGATTTCGATTAAAGCCTCAGGCATAACAAATACCCACATTAAGTATTCTCGATTAGGAGGATTTTATGAAACTCATCAACTGTTTGAAAAAAAAGTTCTATTTTTCTTTAGAAACATATTTTCTTAGCTACTTTACATGATTGGATAATAATGTAAGCAAGAATAAATATCAACTGTTGAATGTATGTATCAGTAGATAACTGTTTTTTTTCGGGCAAAACACTTTGAATCTCTAAGACATATCTTAAACTCAACAGAGTGTTAGGGCTTTTAATTTACGTCATTATAATTTTTTTTTTTCAAATAAAGAATATTTGAATTGGCAGTTCAGTTATATTATCGGATGATAAATGATATATTACCTTAGCACACTGTTTCTTCGTTTTCTTCTATATCATTAAAAACACTGGTTGCTCATGCTTATCGAAAATACAACTTGAATAAATTGTCGAAATAGGTCAGTTTCGATTATTTCGGTCATGCTTATTACAGTTATGATGAGATTTATTAGCAAGTAATTGGATAAGTATGTTAAATTTAATTAGTTTCATTGATTATTTATATTACTACATGAAACAGTAAAGAGATTGGAGGCTGTCGACCATAAACAGTAATAAAAACAATAATAATAATGATAATAAAATTCATTTTATTAAATGAATAATGACGTAAAAAATAACTTATTGATTTTAAATGTTTCGAAATTAATTACAACGATACATAACAATGCTACTTTACAAGTGTCAATTAAATTCTCTCCTTTAATCTGGTGTTTTACCCTGTTTCCATTTCACTCAATTCTCCTTTGTGGGAACATGTCTTCCTTGCTAAGTAATAAATACTCATGTGACTTCTTCTGTCTTTCTTCATTCAATAAACTACACTTACGTTAACGGATATGTTTATTCAACAATAATCAATAGACAGGTTAGAAATACTCTTGTTTTCATTTGAAGCAACTGTTTGGAGGTAATGAAGCACACCAACAAAGATGTATCAAGACAAGAATAAGAAGAAAGCAATTCAGTAACAGATGGTTATGTTGGCAATTTTGTTCTTAATGTCACTTTGGTCATTTTTTCAACATGTGGAATTCATTGGAAATAAGAAAACTATTTTACAGTACATTAACCAATCACGCCAATCTTTAATGGAACAAAGTAATAAGGAAGAGGGAAAACGTGAAGACATTATTTTTCTTGTTACAAGATTAAAATAAAGATGTCACAGAACAGGTAGAATTATTCAAGTATGTTATAGAAACTGGACAAAGATTAGTAATTATGAGTTACTTAGTTTACAAAATATCAAAACGTAGATCTTAAAAAAGAAGCATATTCAAAATAGGGATGGAAACAGCAATATTTAACAGCCCAGAATCGGATTCCATCTCATGTGAACAATCGAATATGCTGTGAAATAAATCTTTCATCTAATTTCCGTATATCATTCTTAGGCGAACTCCATTTGCGCGACGACGCAATAAGAAGCCAATACGAATTTAGTTGGACGAGTTATATTCATGTAATAGTTCATGCAGACAGATAAAAGAGGGAAAGCGAAGCTGAAGTGAAGGTGGAAGGCGAAATGGTCACTATTCAGTGTGATTAGACATGGTTGAGTATTTTGTGTCAGACAGAAATAAGCTAGACGCCTGATGAACGAAGGAAACAAAGCACACACATACAAAACTACCGATGTTTTAAGCGAATAAATAAATGACGAGGTCGTAAAGGCATGCAAATGACACGAGAAGAATGGATCAATTTCATTTGTTCAAACTCTGGGACAAGCCATGTGGGCTTGACATACTAGTAAACGCAACAAATGCATGGTTTCAAAGCTAAATCGGTGTCAGTAGATTAGAGCTAACTTTTAAAGCCCTCCTTGAATATGAATAGATAGAAGTGGAACAAATACCATTCTGTATACGCATTCTTATGGCTTTTGTGGAAGTAAATCAAGGTATTAATCTACGAGATATCACAGATCACCATGTGTTTGAAATCTTACTGTGCACCTATACTTGACAGTTTGTTCAAGAACTGTTATCATCGCTTAAAATCGCGCATGAAACACGCCCCCCGCACATGACCTCGGAAATTTTTATCTACTCACACCCCCAAACCACAAAACCACCCATACCCCCACCCCCCCGCCACCCCGCTCCGTCAGATTGGATCAACAATATT